TATATATATATAACTATTTAATAGTAAGAATATATTTTTTATATGCACATACTTCAAATAACAAATTTATATACATGCCCCCTATCTCTCTATCTCTTTTACACACATACATACGCACACACACAGAAACTCACTCGCGCATATATATATATGTATGTATGTATGTATGTATATATTGATGAAAAGAGAGAGGACGATGACTGCGGTTCGGGCATCGTCTTTATGTTTTCTAGACGAGACAAAAATGACGCAGTGAAAAGAATCTTTTGAACAGAATATTGTCGCCACTTTTCAACAAATCAGTGTATTCCCCTGCTTCGTCCGATGTTACGCACCCTTTTCACACAGTCGACTGCAGGGAATAAGCCCGGAGACTGAGAAGCCATGTGGGAGGGCTGAAAGTTCGGAGGTTTGCAAGAGGGCCATCGATACTAAAAAAAAAAATTTGTGTAGTCAAATACCGCAAACAATTCTAACGTATATATATATATATATATATATATATATATATATATATATATATATATATATATATATATATATATATATATATATATATATATATATATATATATATATATATATATGTAATACTGAAGTAAGAGGACTGACAGAAGAGAAGGAAGAACTGTTAATAATATTAATAATAATATATCGGAAGAAAAAATAGCTTCGAGGAAAAAAAGTTTCTGTAGTGAAAGGGGAAATGCCTGAATGGGAAGTTCGGTTTAACGATCGAAAAGTGTGGGGCGTCGAACTATTTTCTTAGGGGATCTATTCATTTTTGTCACTTCAACTTGACAAGCATTTTTATTCATCCTTTTAATTTTTGTGATGCAATGAGCCTGGGAGCTATGTCTGAATCATAATTCATGACAGCCATCAAGAGGATAGACTATGTGTGGGGTAGGTGAGTGAGGACGAAAGACAAGAAAGAAAGAAAGAAAGAAAGAAAGAAAGAAAGAAAGAAAGAAAGAAAGAAAGAAAGATACGGGATACATGGTCGAGAGATATGCAACAAAGAAAGGCGATTCTAAAATGGAAAGGCGTTGAATAGTAAATAAGTTAGAAAGAAAAACGAATGTAAAACACTGCCGCGTAAGTGTAAAATGTACGTAAGTAAGAAACATGGTGGAATGAAGAATACAAGAAATATGAAAAAGATTGAAAGAAACAAGGAAAGAAAGAAAATTTAGAATACAAAATACTGAATCGCGAATATAGGAAAAATTCAGAGGAAAGTTAAAATATAAGTTCCTGAGTGAGTGGAAAAGAAAGAAAGAAATAAACGAAATGAAACTAACAAACAAAACAAATCTATTGAATGAAAAGGTATAAAAGCAAGCAAGCAGATAAGAAAAAGAAAAGAAAGAAAGAATGGAAGACAAAGAAAGAAAGAAAGAAAGAAAGAAAGAAAGAAAGAAAGAAAGAAAGAAAGAAAAAGTGTAAAAATGACAAATATGAGAAGAAAGAACGTTGGGTAGGCGAATGTGAAAGAAAGAAAGAAAGAAAGAAAGAAAGAAAGAAAGAAAGAAAGAAAGAAAGAAAGAAAGAAAAAGGGTAAAATGACAAATATGAGAAGAAAGAACGTTGGGTACGTGAATGTGGAAGAAAGAAAGAAAGAAAGAAAGAAAGAAAGAAAGAAAGAAAAAGGGTAAAATGACAAATATGAGAAGAAAGAACGTTGGGTACGTGAATGTGGAAGAAAGAAAGAAAGAAAGAAAGAAAGAAAGAAAGAAAGAAAGAAAGAAAGAAAGAAAAAGGGTAAAATGACAAATATGAGAAGAAAGAACGTTGGGTACGTGAATTTGGAAGAAAGAAAGAAAGAAAGAAAGAAAGAAAGAAAAAAGAAAGAAAGAAAAAAAAGGGTAAAATGACAAATATGAGAAGAAAGAACGTTGGGTAGGTGAATGAAAGAAAGAAAGAAAGAAAGAAAGAAAGAAAAAAAGAAAGAAAGAAAGAAAAAAGAAAGAAAGAAAGAAAGAAAGAAAGAAAAAAGAAAAAGAAAGAAAGAAAAGAAAGAAATGTTCAAAAAGAAAAATTAAGAAAGAAAAAGAAAGAAAGAAAGAAAGAAAGAAAGATATGTTCAAAAGAAAAGCAAAAATTAAAAAAGAAAGAAAGAAAGAAAGAAAGAAAGAAAGAAAGAAAGAAAGAAAGAAAGAAAGAAAGAAAGAAAGAAAAAAAGAAAGGTAAAGAAAGAAAGAAAGAAATGAATCAGGTAGATATGATCAACGTAGAAGCAAAAAAATTAAGAAAAAAGAAAGAAAGAAAGAAAGAAAGAAAGAAAGAAAGAAAGAAAAAGGGTAAAAATGACAAATATGAGAAGAAAGAACGTTGGGTAGGTGGAATGAAAGAAAAAAGAAAGAAAGAAAGAAAGAAAGAGAGAAAGAAAGAAAGAAAGAAAGAAAGAAAAGGGTAAAAAGTGAATCAAATATATTTTCAAGAAAAAAAAATTAAGTTGGAAAAGAAAAGAAAAGAAAGAAAAAAAAAGAAAGGGTAAAAGAAAGAAAAAGAACGTTGGAGAATGAAAGAAAGAAAGAAAGAAAGAAAGAAAAAAGAAAGTAGTAAAAAATGAATCAGAAGATATGTTGGGTCAATGAAAGAAAAAAAGAAGAAAGAAAGAAAAAAGAAAGAAAGAAAGAAAGAAAGAAAGAAAAAGGGTAAAAATGACAAATATGAGAAGAAAGAACGTTGGGTAGGTGAATGTGAAAGAAAGAAAGAAAGAAAGAAAGAAAGAAAGAAAGAAAGAAAGAGATAAAGAAAGAAAGAAAGAAAGAAAGAAAATCGGGTAGTAGAAAGTGAATCAGTAGATATGTTCAACGTAGAAGCAAAAAATTAAGAAAGAAAGAAAGAAAGAAAGAAAAAAAGAAAGAAAGAAAAAGGGTAAAAATGACAAATATGAGAAGAAAGAACGTTGGGTAGGTGAATGTGAAAGAAAGAAAGAAAGAAAGAAACAAACAAACAAAGAAACAAAGAAAGAAAGAAAGAAAATCGGGTAGTAGAAAGTGAATCAGTAGATATGTTCAACGTAGAAGCAAAAAAGAAAGAAAGAAAGAAAGAAAGAAAGAAAG